AATATATATATATATATATATATATATATATATATATATATATATATATATATAAATGGATATTTCTCTTCCTTGTAGTAAAAAAACAATTGGTTTACAAAAATAGTACGTGTAAGAAAATTTATAAACATACATATGATATAAAGCCATATACAAAACCATTAAGGAGACGCATCAGAAATGTTTACTTATGCTGTCAGAAAGTTATTTTAGATAAGACAGGAATTCCATATAATGGCCTATATATTGATCTATAGTTTGGTAAAGCACAGTACATACGTACGTAGGAAGGCTTTTAACTTGGGTTTATTGTGATTAAGGTTTCCTCTTTAAGAAAAGCTATAGTGTATCCTGCAATGCGCTTCTTAAAAGTGCCATAAAAGAATATTAAAATAAGAAAGAAAGCGCACAAATTGGGTTTAACTAAAGTCATCTTGTACTAAACCATGTTTACTGCTGTGATAATGTCCTGCACATCATCACACAAGTTAAGCCTTGTGGTATTGAACATATTCGGGTGCGGAAAAATGTACTTTCTAGCAGACCAACTCCCTTTGGCATGCTATCTCTCTATTTGGCCAATTTCTACTCTTTGCAGCCCCCTCCCGAATCCGGGTAGGGGCTAACAAAAATGTGTCTCTTCATGAAACGTGTCATCGAAAACTATTCCCATCGTCAACAACAAAAGCGGATATTCCAAATTCAAAAAAGAGGAACTTCCGTGTGACACGCGCGCGGTCCTTGATTCAGATCAAAAATGTGCTTCAAGAAACCTAACACCTGTTTCTAGTGTTAAGTTCTGCTTTGATGACACCCGATCTCATTGGTATACAAAGAAGAATGGAGAAGTGCTGTTTCGTGGGAGCACAAGTTTCTTAATATCCATTATCCACAAAAGTGGCTACACCATGGCAGTTAACTACGCAGTTTTGCTCCTTCTGGTTCTTTACAGTCTACTTTGTCGGGCCAATGAATCCGAAGGTACCAACTTCACAGTTTCTGTTCCTGAAGATGCCAAGATTGGAACAGACGTTGTCAGCTTGCCGCGAACGGAGAAAGCGGAACTTCCGTGTGTAATGGTGGAGGGAGATCCCTACGGCCGGTTCTATGTGAGTAACAACTGTACAGTTACAGTCGCCAGGCCGCTGGACTGGTCTGTACAGTCGGAGTATCGTTTAAAATTACGTGTTGGTGGAAGTCAAGAAACTGATTACTATATAGTCAGGATCAGAGTAAATGTGAGGAACGTTCTGGGCTATCCTCCTGTGTACAACGAGACGTGTGAAACACCAGTCAATCCCAGTGGGAACCGGACTGGGGAGTTCCTATTTAGTGTTCTGCTAAATGTACAAGCTGAGACAACTGCCGGAGGTGTTCTTTTCTTTCAGAAAAGAATTAACAATCCTCTTGAGAAACGGGATAGGGAAGACCTCAAAGTAGTTATCAGGGAAAATAACTACTGCGAAGTTCATATTGTGACAGGAGTACATCATTTGCACGATCTCTCTACTGCACTAGAAATCTGGGAGACGGCGGCAAGGGAAGATTTCCATAAAGTAACGATATCATGTCATGCGGAGACTGCCTTACAGTCAGAACTGTCAATCTCTCTTTTCGATGTTCGCGAATTGTACATCCATGACTTGCCTTACTTAGATCAACTTCAGGTCGCGATCCCTCAAGTCATGGAGAGACTTCTGCACCCCCGTTTTGTTTACTACGTTTCGTTACATTCTCCGGCAAAGACAAAAACGCACTATATATGCAAACTTCCAAAACCCCGTCGCCCAACCATTATTTCCTTAAGTCATCGAAATCAAATAAGGGTACGATATCCTCCATTAGTAACTCTGGACTTTATCCCAATCGGCTGTCCTCCCGATAGATACGGTCTTCTTTGTGACCAGAACTGCATCTGTAAGAACGGTGCCCGCTGCCATGGCTTCAACGGTGCCTGTAAATGTACAGACGCCTGGCAAGGTGTCGCTTGTGACATTCCAAAGCCAGGCGTTTCCGCAGCGACGACACCTAGCGACCCTTCTGATATCTACATTTCTGCTAACGTCACGGTTCACTGTAAAGTTCACCACGTCAACGCCACAGGGGTATCATTACGACTTCCAAACGGGTCTGACATCGTTAGAAAGAACTCATCTCGATTAGACCAAATTCTGTTGAACATACAGCCTAAAGACAATGGTCCCTACATGTGTAAAGTATGGGACACCTACGGAAAGGTCTTCAACGCAACCGTTGTACTTGACATTGCTAAGTGTCCACATAATAGAAAAGGCGAGTTCTGTGATGAAACGTGTGACTGTCTCCATGGCGGCACCTGTGACTGGACATCTGGCTGCGTCTGTCCCGCGGGCTGGAGAGGAACCAGGTGTCAGACCACATGTCCAAACGGCACGTACGGCGAGCGGTGCCGAGAGAAGTGTCGCTGCCGAAACGGTGCGAGCTGTAGCCCTAGAGACGGCAGATGTACCTGCGCGGCCGGCTGGTATGGCTGGCAGTGTGACGTACCTTGTCCTCAGTACAGACACGGCCAGAGATGTCAGCAGGTGTGCACCTGTAAGAATAATGCCACCTGTCACAACGTGGACGGCAGTTGCACCTGCGTGGCACCATGGACAGGGAAGAATTGTGAGCAAGTCGTAGAGCAAGAGCAGGTAATGCGACCGGAACCACTGCTCGAAATCTTTGTCCCAATAGGCTCCGTTATCGTTATGGCTGCTTGTGTAGCGGCCATACTGTACAAGAAGAGGCGCCTATGCGGCGTTCAGGCCGGCCAAGACGACGAGACGGAAGCCTTTCTGGAGATGGAGCAGGTGGAGGCAGACCTGGCACAGACCGTCCAGCCGGGCTGGCTCAGCCGATGGGGTAAGACCAGGCGGCACCTGACACTTGGTCCCCTGGTCGGGATGGGGATGTTTGGTCAAGTCATGGAGGCCAACCTCAAGACACACGCTTGCGACATCACCGTTGCTGCCAAGGAAGTTCGCAGACGAGACATCCAATGTTATCGCAACTTCTACAGAGAGGCGGCCATTTTGGTAGCCGTGCATGAAGACCAACATCACGACAACCTCCGCTCCAACATCATTCAATTGTTGGGATTCATCAACGAGCCGACCCACAAGTATATCCTCACGGAATACGCTTCCAACGGGAACCTGTTACGTTTGCTGCGACAGGCACGAAGGCAAGACGAGCCGCAGTCTCTCCCACGTCATCTCCGCTATGCCGTGCACATTGCCCGCGCTCTTCAGGAGCTCCAACGCCTGGCGCTCACACACCGGGACGTGGCCGCTCGGAACGTCCTCATCACTGCTGACCACGTGGCCAAGTTGGCCGACTTTGGACAGGCCCGCGACGTCTACACCGCTGTCCAATACGTGCCTAATGATAAACACGGCATAGAACAGCCTGCTAAGCCTAAAGACAACGTAAAGAATGAAGTATTCCCCCTGAACTGGACGGCTCTGGAGTCATTAGAGACAGGTGAGTACACCTGTCAGAGTGACGTGTGGTCCTTCGGCGTGCTGCTGTGGGAGATCGTCACCATGGGACAAGAACCGCGTTACCATGGCAACGACCAACCCACCTGCCAACAGCTTGCACGGACCCTCCGGAGGGGAATCCGGCTCAGAAGGCCTCCGGGATGTTCCGGAGAGATGTATGACGTCATGATGTCGTGTTGGCGGGAAAATCCACCAACAAGACCGGGTCCGGATGTGGTCGAGATGAAACTCGTACAACTGCGGAATGCGATGATTACAGTAAGGGAAACGACTGTCTGAATTGTCAAAATTGTTCTTTAGCTACTTTTGCCCAACCTGTATTAGTCAAGAAGTGACCTTTTCTGACCATGTTCTGACTGTGAGCTGATTCAATGATGCCAGCATCTATTATCACTTTCACAAGTATTGTGCTGATAAACATAAGAACTATACATATATGAATGGATATTTCTCTTCCTTGTGTAAAAAAAAACAATTGGTTTACAAAAATAGTGCGTGTAAGAAAATTTACATACATATGATATAAAGCCATATAAAAAATATTTAAAAGACGCATCAGAAATGTTTACTCATGCTGTCAAAAAGTTATTTCAAATAAGACAGGAATTCCATATAATGGCCTATATATTGATCTATAGTTTGGTAAAGCACAGTACATACGTACGTACGTAGGAAGGCTTTTAACCTGGGTTTATTGTGATTAAGGTTTCCTCTTTAAGAAAAGCTATAGTGTATCCTGCAATGCGCTTCTTAAAAGTGCCATAAAAGAATATTCAAATATGAAAGAAAGCGCACAAATTGGGTTTAACTAAAGTCAGCTTGTACTAAACCATGTTTACTGTGATAATGCCCTGCACATCATCACACAAGTTAAGCCTTGTGGTATTGCACATATTCGGGTGCGGCAAAATGTACTCTGACTACACGAAAACTTGGATTTACTGATACCTGTACATGTATGGTTGGGTAATGTTTACTTTGTTTTTTTTTTAATAAACGCTTCTGAATTTTACAACGGCATTAAATAAAGGTCAAGTACGGTGATACCGGACTTAACAAGGGTTGTAAAGGAAATTACTGCAATTGACCTTTATTTACTACCATTGTAAAGCCAGATACTGTGTACATAGTAACCATTACCTGAATTTACAACCTTTGGTAAATCCAACTTTTCGTGCAGTGAGATCTCTAGTGGACCAACACCCCTGGCATGTTATCTCTCTAGTTAAGTCAGTTTCTACCCTTTCCAACCTCCTCCGAAGCCTGGTAGGGGCTAACAAAAATGTGGCTCTTCATAAAACGCGTCATCGTAAACTATTCCCATCGTCAACAAGAACTTGTTATTGATGAGTATCCTTCCGTGACGGGCAGGAATATTCCAAATGGCCCAGAAAAAGGGGAACTTCCGTGTGCTACGCGGTCCTTAATCCAGAACAAAATGTGTTGCAAGAAACCTAACACCTGTTTCTGGGGTTAAGTTCTGCTTTGGTGACACCTGATCACATAGGTATCAAAGAAGAATGGAGAAGTGCTGTTTCGTGGGAGCACAAGTTTCTTAATATCCATTAATCCACAAAAGCGGCTACACCATGGCAGTTAACTACGCAGTTTTGCTCCTACTGGTTCTTTACAGTCTACTTTGTCGGGCCGATGAATCCGAAGGTACCAACTTCACAGTTTCTGTGGCTGAAGATGCCAAGATTGGGACAGACGTTCTCAGCTTGCCGCGTTTGTTGGGAACGGAGAAAGCGGAACTTCCGTGTGCAATGGTGGAGGGAGATCCCTACGGCCGGTTCTATGTGAGTAACAACTGTACAGTTATAGTCGCCAGGCCGCTGGACTGGTCTGTACAGTCGGAGTATATTTTAAAATTACTTGTTGGTGGACAAGAAGACCCTGATCACCATGTCGTCAGGATCAGAGTAAAGGTGAGAAACGTTTTGGGCTATCCTCCTGTGTACAACGAGACGTGTGAAACACCGGTCAATCCCAGGGGAAACCAGACTGGGGAGTTCCTGTTTAGCCTTTCTCCGAGTGTAGAAGCTGAGACAACTGAAGGAGACGTTCTTTTCTTTCAGAAAAGTATTAGTAAGCCTATAGAGAAATGGGACATGGACGATCTTAAGATAATCATCACAGGAACTGACAACTGCGAAGTTCGCATTGCTGCTGGCATACGTCATTTGAACGACCTCTCGGCTGCAGCAGAAATATGGCAGTCGTTTTACAGGGGGGAGGATGGGACAGTTACGTTATCATGTCATGCGGAGACTGCCTTCATACAGTCAGAACTGTCAATCATGCTTTTAGATATTCGAGAATTCTACCTCCATGGCGACTTGCCTTACTTGGAACAGCTGGAGATCGCGGTCCCTCAAGTCCTGGAGAAACTTCAGCACTCCCTTTTCATCTACTTTCTGTCGTTTAATGTTTCGACAAATAGCAGAATGCACTATAGATGCAAACTTCCGATACAGCATCGTCCACTCAGTTTTTTCAAAGATAAAGATCATTCTGTTACTCGACTAAATGTACGACACGTTGAAACGTTGACTATGGATTTGAGCCCTATCGGCTGTGCTCCCGATAGATACGGCCTTCTTTGTGACCAAAACTGCATCTGTAAGAACGGTGCCCGCTGCCATGGCTTCAACGGTGCCTGTAAATGTACAGACGCCTGGCAAGGTGTCGCTTGTGACATTCCAAAGCCCGGCGTTTCTGCAGCGACGACACCAAGCGACCCTTCTGATATCTACATTTCCGCTAACGTCACAGTTCACTGTAAAGTTCACCACGTCAACGCTACAGCGTTATCATTACGACTACCAAACGGGTCTGAGATCGTTAGGAAGAACTCATCTCGATTAGAACAAACTCTGTTAAACATACAGCCCAAAGACGATGGTCCCTACATGTGTCAGGTATGGGACACTAATGGAAGGGTCTTCAATGCAACCGTTGTACTTGACATTGCTAAGTGTCCACCAAATCGAAAAGGCGAGTTCTGTGGTGAGACGTGTGACTGTTTCCATGGCGCCAGCTGTGACTGGAGATCTGGCTGCGTCTGTCCCGCGGGATGGACAGGAACCAGGTGCCAGACGACATGTCCGAACGGCACGTACGGCCAGCGGTGCCGAGAGAAGTGTCGCTGCCGAAACGGCGCGAGCTGCCGCCCTAGCGACGGTAAGTGTACCTGCGCGGCTGGCTGGTACGGCTGGCAGTGTGACGTACCTTGTCCTAAGTACAGGCACGGTCTGAGGTGTCAGCAGGTGTGCACCTGTAAGAACAACGCCACCTGTCACAACGTGGACGGCAGTTGCACCTGCGTGGCGCCGTGGACGGGGAAGGACTGTGACCAAGTCGAAGAGCAAGAACAGGCAATGCGACCGGAACAACTGCTCGAAATCTTTGTCCCAATAGGATCCTTTATCGTTCTAGCTGCTTGTGTAGGGATCATACTGTACATGAAAAGGCACCTGCGTGGCGTTCAGCCCGGCCAAGACGACGAGACCGAAGCTTTTCTGGAGCTGGAGCAGGTGGAGGCAGACCTGGCACAGACCGTCCAGCCGGGCTGGCTCAGCCGATGGGGTAAGACCAGGCGGCACCTGACACTTGGTCCCCTGGTCGGGATGGGGATGTTTGGTCAAGTCATTCAGGCCAACCTCAAGACACACGCTTGCGACATCACCGTTGCTGCCAAGGAAGTTCGCAGACGAGACATCCAATGTTATCGCAACTTCTACAGGGAGGCGGCCATTTTGGTAGCCGTGCATGAAGACCAACATCACGACAACCTCCGCTCCAACATCATTCAATTGTTGGGATTCATCAACGAGTCGACCCACAAGTATATCCTCATGGAATACGCTTCCAACGGTAACCTGTTACGTTTGCTTCGGCAGGCACGAAGGCAAGACGGGCGGCAGTCTCTCCCACGTCATCTCCGCTATGCCGTGCACATTGCCCGCGCTCTTCAGGAGCTCCAACGCCTGGCGCTCACACACCGGGACGTGGCCGCTCGGAATGTCCTCATCACTGCTGACCACGTGGCCAAGTTGGCCGACTTTGGACAGGCCCGCGACGTCTACACCGCTGTCCAATACGTGCCTAATGATAAACACGGCATAGAACAGCCTGCTAAGCCTAAAGACAAGGTAAAGAATGAAGTATTCCCCCTGAACTGGACGGCTCTGGAGTCATTAGAGACAGGTGAGTACACCTGTCAGAGTGACGTGTGGTCCTTCGGCGTGCTGCTGTGGGAGATCGTCACCATGGGACAAGAACCGCGTTACCATGGCAACGGCCAACCCACCTGCCAACAGCTCGTACGAACCCTCCGGAGGGGAATCCGGCTGAGAAGGCCTCCGGGATCTTCCGAAGAGATGTATGACGTCATGATGTTGTGTTGGCAGGAAATGCCGTCAGAAAGACCGGATCCGGATGAAGTAGAGATGAAACTCGTACAACTGCGGAATGCGATGATTACAGTAAGGGAAACGACTGTCTGAATTGTCAAAATTGATGTTCAGCTATTTTTTGTGCCCAACCTGTATTAGTCAACAAGTTGCCTTTTCTGACTGTGAGCTGATTCAATGGTGTCAGCATGCATCATCACAAGTATTGAGCTGATAATAGTGATATACATAATATGTAAATATGCATACATAAGTGGACACTTCTCTTCCTGGTGTAAAACAACTGTTTTACAAATATAGTTTACATTTGATGTCCAGCCAAATAGACAGGCATTATGATGACGCATCAGAGATGTTATTCATTCTATCAGAGTTATTTTAAAAGGATAAAAATTCAATATGATATCATCTAATTCCTAGAGAGTAATAATAATCTAACCGATGTGTTCTACATATTAACCTATGGTTTGGTAAAGCACTGTTCATACTTAGGGCACATTTTTACTTGGGTTCAACGTCATGAAGGTATCAGACAATATTCTATTGTTTCTGTGAGACAAGATATGGTTTGTCCTTCAATGCACTTCTTAGAAGTGCCAGAGGTAATTATAAGCAATCTCCTGTTTTTAATCCTCGCCTCCATTTTTTAATGAAGTCAAAAAAAGAAATAAATATATCATGCTTTTGAAGACATCCTAGGCCAAGTCGAGTGTTTCAAGAAAGCAGCCTGAACTGGAAAGTGGTTGATGTCTGGTCAAAGAAATGGAATCACGTATACGTAGCTTGGCCATAGTCCCCTCCACATTTCTCAAATTTTCTCGGGAAAAAAGAGGCACGTGCACCCTTAGATTATTCACGGTGTCATCAAACACAAGATAGGTCATTATAGTGCACGTTTAACATATATACTGGAAGTTATTACAGGCCCCAATATCTTTAATAATTGAGGAGAGAATTCACACCGGTTAAATCACGAAAAATCTTAATGTTTCCTTAACGACGATCGAATACAAAATTCCCAACTTTAATGCTTAGAATAACTGTTGTCTCCAAAGGTAGACAAAACGGAATATTTAGTACCTCTTTGTCGAATACGCTATAACAAATCTTAACTTTAAAACTGCACAGCCACGGAGCACAAAACCCTAAAATTGGGCAAAACTTGAAAGGCACCCTTGCTCGTTCCACAAAGCCAGGGCAAGGTGGCGGCGGGGAGGGGGGAGGGGCGTATTCAAACGTCACAGCCTCACAGGGAATTCTGGGATACGCCTTCCACCTGCTCTGAGGAACTACCGTGTGCCACGCGAGTTTTGTTTAAAAAATGTGTCTCAAGAAACATAGCACCTGCTTCTCAAGTTAAGTTCCGCTTTCACCATGACACCCTATCTCTTTGGTATACAGAGAGTGATGGAGAAGTGCTATTTCGTTGGAGCACAAGTTTCCTACTATTCGCTAACTACAATAGCGGCTACATGTACACCATGGCAGTTAATTACGCAGTTTTGCTCCTACTAGTTCTTTACGGTCTACTTTGTCGGGCCGATGATGAAGGAACCAACTTCACAGTTTCTGTGGCTGAAGATGCCAAGATTGGAACAGACGTTCTCAGCTTGCCGCGTTTGTTGGGAACAGAGAAAGCGGAACTTCCGTGTGTAATGGTGGAGGGGGATCCCTATGGCCGATTCTATGTGAGTAACAACTGTACAATTTTGGTCGCCAGGCCGCTGGACTGGTCTGTACAGTCGGAGTATCTTTTAAAACTAATTGTTGGTGGGCAAGAAGACACCGACAACCATGTCGTCAGGATCAGAGTAAATGTGAGAAACGTTTTGGGCTATCCTCCTGTGTACAACGAGACGTGTGGAACACCAGTCAATCCCAGGGGAAACCAGACTGGGGAATTCCTATTTAGTTTTTCGCTAAGTATAGAAGCTGAGACAACTGACGGAGATGTTATTTTCTTTGAGACAGGAATTAGAAAGCCTCTTGAGAGATGGGGGGACATGGAAAATGCCAGGGCAATCATAACAGAAGAGAGCAACTGCGAAGTTCGTCTAGCGATTGGGTTACATAGTTTCAACGACATCGCAAATGCACTAGAAATATGGGACGTGCTGGAAAGGGACGACGATTGGAAAGTTACGTCTTGTCAGGCGGAGACTGCCTTACAGCCAGAGCTGTCAGTTGTGCTTTTAGACAACAGAAACTGGCCTTATTTACAACAGCTTCAGGTTTCGATCCCTCAAGCCATGGAAAAACTTCAACATCCTCGTTTGGTCTTCTATCTTTCATTTGATTTTCCAACAAAGAGCAAAACGCTCTATAGATGTACATTTCCGATACTGCGTTACCCACTCAGTATTAAGATAAATCGTGGTCGTCAAGAAAAATTAAGTATACGACATGTTCAAACAATGACTATGGATGTTAACCTGATCGGCTGTCCTCCCGATAGATACGGCCTTCTTTGTGACCAGAACTGCATCTGTAAGAATGGTGCCCGCTGCCATGGCTTCAACGGGGCCTGTAAATGTACAGACGCCTGGCAAGGTGTCGCTTGTGACATTCCAAAGCCCGGCGTTTCCGCAGCGACGACACCTAGCGACCCTTCTGATGTCTACATTTCCGCTAACGTCACGGTTCACTGTCAAGTTCACCACGTCAACGCCGCAGCGTTATCATTACGACTTCCAAACGGGTCTGAGATCGTTAGAAAGAACTCATCTCGATTAGACCAAACTCTTTTAAACATACAGCCCACAGACAATGGTCCATACAAATGTCAGGTATGGGATGTCTATGGAAAGGTCTTCAACGCAACCATTGTACTTGACATTGCTAAGTGTCCACCTAATCGAAAAGGCGAGTTCTGTGATGAGACGTGTGCCTGTCTCCATGGCGCCACCTGTGACTGGACATCTGGCTGCGTCTGTCCTCCGGGCTGGACAGGAACCAGGTGTCAGACCACATGTCCGAACGGCACGTACGGCGAGCGGTGCCGAGAGGAGTGTCACTGCCGAAACGGTGCGAGCTGCAGCCCTACAGACGGCAAGTGTACCTGCGCGGCCGGCTGGTACGGCTTGCAGTGTGACGTACCTTGTCCCAAGTACAGGCACGGCCTGAGATGTCAGCAAGTGTGCACCTGTAAGAACAACGCCGCCTGTCACAACGTGGACGGCACCTGCACCTGCGTGGCGCCGTGGACAGGGAAGAACTGTGATCAAGTCGAACAGCAGGCAATGCGACCGGAACCACTGCTTGAAAGCTTTGTCCCAATAGGCTCCGTTATCGTTCTGGCTGCTTGTGCAGGGGCCATACTGTACAAGAAGAGGAACTTGTGCGGCGTTCAGGCCGGCCAGGACGACGAGATCGAAGCTTTTCTGGAGCTGGAGCAGGTGGAGGCAGACCTGGCACAGACCGTCCGGCCGGGCTGGCTCAGCCGATGGGGTAAGACCAGGCAGCACCTCACACTTGGTCCCCTGGTCGGGGTGGGGATGTTTGGTCAAGTCATTCAGGCCAAGCTCAAGACACCTGCCGGGGACATCACCGTTGCTGCCAAGGAAGTTCGCAGACGAGACATTCAATGCTATCGCAACTTCTACAGGGAGGCGGCCATTTTGGTAGCCGTGCATGAAGACCAACATCACGACAACCTCCGCTCCAACATCATTCAATTGTTGGGATTCATCAACGAGTCGACCCACAAGTATATTCTCACGGAATACGCTTCCAACGGGAACCTTTTACGTTTGCTGCGATAGGCACGAAGGCAAGACGGGCGGCAGTCTCTCCCACGTCATCTCCGCTATGCCGTGCACATTGCCCGCGCTCTTCAGGAGCTCCAACGCCTGGCGCTCACACACCGGGACGTGGCCGCTCGGAACGTCCTCATCACTGCTGACCACGTGGCCAAGTTGGCCGACTTTGGACAGGCCCGCGACGTCTACACCGCTGTCCAATACGTGCCTAATGATAAACACGGCATAGAACAGCCTGCTAAGCCTAAAGACAACGTAAAGAATGAAGTATTCCCCCTGAACTGGACGGCTCTGGAGTCATTAGAGACAGGTGAGTACACCTGTCAGAGTGACGTGTGGTCCTTCGGCGTGCTGCTGTGGGAGATTGTCACCATGGGACAAGAACCGCGTTACCATGGCAACGACCAACCCACCTGCCAACAGCTCGCACGGACCCTCCGGAGGGGAATCCGGCTCAGAAGGCCTCCGGGATGTTCCGGAGAGATGTATGACGTCATGATGTCGTGTTGGCGGGAAAGTCCACCAACAAGACCGGGTCCGGATGAAGTAGAGAGGAAACTCGTGCAACTGCGGGATGCGATGATTACAGTAAGGGAAACGACTGTCTGAATTGTCAAAATTGATGTTCAGCTATTTTTGTCCAACCTGTATCAGTCAAGAAGTGACCTTTTCTAACCATGTTCTGACTGTGAGCTGATTCAATGATGCCAGCATGTATCATCACAAGTATTCTGCTGATAAACATAAGTACTATATATATATATATATATATATATTATATATTATATATATATATAATGGATATTTCTCTTCCTTGTGTAAAAAAACAATTGGTTTACAAAAATAGTACGTGTAAGAAAATTCATAAACATACATATGATATAAAGCCATATACAAAACCATTAAGAAGACGCATCAGAAATGTTTACTTATGCTGTCAGAAAGTTATTTTAGATAAGACAGGAATTCCATATAATGGCCTATATATTGATCTATAGTTTGGTAAAGCACAGTACATACGGACGTAGGAAGGCTTTTAACTTTGGTTTATTGTCATTAAGGTTTCCTCTTTAAGAAAAGCTATAGTGTATCCTGCAATGTGCTTCTTAAAAGTGCCATAAAAGAATATTCAAATAAGAAATAAAGCGCACAAATTGGGTTTAACTAAAGTCAGCTTGTACTAAACCATGTGTACTGTGATAATGCCCTGCACATCATCACACAAGTTGAGTCTTGTGGTATTGCACATTTTCGGGTGCGGCAAAATGTACTCTGACTGCACGAAAACTTGGATTTACTGATACCTGTATGGTTGGGTAATGTTTACTTTGTTTTTTTTTAATAAACGCTTCTGAATTTTACGGTGATACCGGACTTAACAAGGGTTGTAAAGTAAATTACTGCAATTGACCTTTATTTACTACCATTGTAAAGCCAGATACTGTGTACATAGTAAACATTACCTGAATTTACAACCTTTGGTAAATCCAACTTTTCGTGCAGTGTCTCTAGTGGACCAACACCCCTGGCATGTTATCTCTCTAGTTAGTCAATTTCTACCCTTTCCAACCTCCTCCGAAGCCTGGTAGGGGCTAACAAAATTGTAGCTCTTCATAAAACGCGTCATCGTAAACTATTCCCATCGTCAACAAGAACTTGTTATTGATGAGTATCCTTCCGTGACGGGCAGGAATATTCCAAATGGCCCAGAAAAAGGGGAACTTCCGTGTGCTACGCGGTCCTTAATCCAGAACAAAATGTGTTGCAAGAAACCTAACACTTGTTTCTGGGGTTAAGTTCTGCTTTGGTGACACCTGATCACATAGGTATCAAAGAAGAATGGAGAAGTGCTGTTTCGTGGGAGCACAAGTTTCTTAATATCCATTAATCCACAAAAGCGGCTACACCATGGCAGTTAACTACGCAGTTTTGCTCCTACTGGTTCTTTACTGTCTACTTTGTCGGGCCGATAAATTCGAGGCTACCAACTTCACAGTTTCTGGGGCTGAAGATGCCAAGATTGGAACCGACGTTCTCAGCTTGCCGCGTTTGTTGGGAACGGAGAAAGCGGAACTTCCGTGTGCAATAGTGGAGGGGGATCCCTACGGCCGGTTCTATGTGAGTAACAACTGTACAGTTATAGTCGCCAGGCCACTGGACTGGTCTGTACAGTCGGAGTATCTTTTAAAAATTCTTGTTGGTGGACAAGAAGACCCTGATCACCATGTCGTCAGGATCAGAGTAAATGTGAGAAACGTTTTGGGCTATCCTCCTGTGTACAACAAGAAGTGTGAAACACCGGTCAATCCCAGGGGAAACCTGTCTGGGGAGTTCCTGTTTAGCCTTTCTCTGAGTGTAGAAGTTGAGACAACTGAAGGAGATGTTTTCTTCACTGAGAAAATTATTAATAAGCCTTTTGAGAAATGGGACATGGACGATCTTAAGGTAATCATCACAGGAAATGACAACTGCGAAGTTCGCATTGCTGCTGGCATACGTAATTTGAACGACCTCTCGGCTGCAGCAGAAATATGGTACGGGTTTTACAGGGGGGAGGATGGGACAGTTACGTTATCATGTCATGCGGAGACTGCCTTCATACAGTCAGAACTGTCAATCATGCTTTTAGATATTCGAGAATTCCACATCCATGGCAACTTGCCTTACTTGGAACAGCTGGAGATCCCGATCCCTCAAGTCCTGGAGAAACTTCAGCACTCCCTTTTCATCTACTTTCTGTCGTTTAATGTTCCGACAAATAGCAGAACGCACTATACATGCAAACTTCCGATACAGCATCGTCCACTCAGTTTTTTCAAAGATAAAGATCATTCTGTTACTCGACTAAATGTACGACACGTCGAAACGTTGACTATGGATTTGAGCCGTATCGGCTGTGCTCCCGATAGATACGGCCTTCTTTGTGATCAGAACTGCATATGTAAGAATGGTGCCCGCTGCCATGGCTTCAACGGTGCCTGTAAATGTACAGACGCCTGGCAAGGTGTCGCTTGTGACATTCCAAAGCCTGGCGTTTCTGCAGCGACGACACCTAGCGACCCTTCTGATATCTACATTTCCGCTAACGTCACAGTTCACTGTAAAGTTCACCACGTCAAAGCTACAACGTTATCATTACGACTTCCAAACGGGTCGGAGATCGTTAGAAAGAACTCATCTCGATTAGACCAAATTCTGTTGAACGTACAGCCCACAGACAATGGTCCCTACATGTGTAAAGTATGGGACACCTACGGAAAGGTCTTCAACGCAACCGTTGTACTTGACATGGCTAAGTGTCCACCTAATAGAAAAGGCGAGTTCTGTGATGAGACGTGTGACTGTCTCCGTGGCGCCACCTGTGACTGGAGATCTGGCTGCGTCTGTCCCGCGGGCTGGACAGGAACCAGGTGTCAGACCACATGTCCGAACGGCACGTACGGCGAGCGGTGCCGAGAGGAGTGTCGCTGCCGAAACGGTGCTAGCTGCAGCCCTAGCGACGGCAGGTGTACCTGCGCGGCTGGCTGGTACGGCTGGCAGTGCGACGTACCTTGTCCTCAGTCCAGGCACGGCCTGAGGTGTCAGCAAGTGTGCACCTGTAAGAACAACGCCACCTGTCACAACGTGGACGGCACCTGCACGTGCGTGGCGTCGTGGACAGGGAAGAATTGTGACCAAGTCGAAGAGCAAGAGCAGCCAATGCGACCGGAACCACTGCTTGAAATATTTGTCCCAATCGGCTCCGTTATCATTTTGGCTGCTTGTGTAGGGGCCATACTGTACAGGAAGAGGCACCTGTGCGGCGTTCAGGCCGGCCAAGACGACGAGACGGAAGCTTTTCTGGAGCTGGAGCAGGTGGAGGCAGACCTGGCACAGACCGTCCGGCCGGGCTGGCTCAGCCGATGGGGTAAGACCAGGCGGCACCTCACACTTGGTCCCCTGGTCGGGATGGGGATGTTTGGTCAAGTCATTCAGGCCAAGCTCAAGACACCTGCCGGGAACATCACCGTTGCTGCCAAGGCGGTTCGCAGACGGGACATTCAATGTTATCGCAACTTCTACAGAGAGGCGGCCATTTTGGTAGCCGTGCATGAAGACCAACATCACGACAACCTCCGCTCCAACATCATTCAATTGTTGGGATTCATCAACGAGCCGACCCACAAGTATATCCTCATGGAATACGCTTCCAACGGTAACCTTTTACGTTTGCTGCGGCAGGCACGAAGGCAAGTCGGGCCGCAGTCTCTCCCACGTCATCTCCGCTATGCCGTGCACATTGCCCGCGCTCTTCAGGAGCTCCAACGCCTGGCGCTCACACACCGGGACGTGGCCGCTCGGAACGTCCTCATCACTGCTCACCACGTGGCCAAGTTGGCCGACTTTGGACAGGCTCGTGACGTCTACACCGCTGTCCAATACGTGCCTAATGATAAACACGGCATAGAACAGCCTGCTAAGCCTAAAGACAACGTAAAGAATGAAGTATTCCCCCTGAACTGGACGGCTCTGGAGTCATTAGAGACGGGTGAGTACACCTGTCAGAGTGACGTGTGGTCCTTCGGCGTGCTGCTGTGGGAGATCGTCACCATGGGACAAGAACCGCGTTACCATGGCAACGACCAACCCACCTGCCAACAGCTTGCACGGACCCTCCGGAGGGGAATCCGGCTAAGAAGGCCTCCGAAATGTTCCGTAGAGATGTATGACGTCATGATGTCGTGTTGGCGGGAAAGTCCACCAACAAGACCGGGTCCGGATGAAGTAGAGATGAAACTCGTACACCTGCGGAATGCGATGATTACAGTAAGGGAAACGACTGTCTGAATTGTCAAAATTGATGTTCAGCTATTTTTTGTGCCCAACCTGTATTAGTCAAGAAGTTGCCTTTTCTGATTGTGAGCTGATTCAATGGTGTCAGCATGCATCATCACAAGTATTGTGCTGATATACATAATATTTAAGTATCCATACAAAAGTTGACATTTCTCTTCCTGGTGTAAAACAACTGTTTTACAAATATAGTTTACATTTGATATCCAGCCAAATAGACAGGCATTATGATGACGCATCAGAGATGTTTATTCTATCAGAGTTATTTTAACAGGATAAGAATTCAATATGATATCACCTAATTCATAGAGAGTAATAATAATCTAACCGATGTGTTCTACATATTAACCTATGGTTTGGTAAAGCGCTGTTCATACGTAGGGCACATTTTACTTGGGTTCAATGTAATGCAAGTATCAGACAATACTCTATTGTTTCTGTGAGACAAGTTATGGTTTGTCCTGCAATGCACTTCTTAGAAGTGCCAGAGGTAAGCAATCTCCTGTTTTTAGTCTCTGCCTCCATTTTTCAATGGAGAAGTAAAAAAAAAGAAATAAATATACTAGTATCATGCTTTTGAAGACATCCTAGGCCAAATCGAGTGTAACAAGAAAGCAGCCTGAACTGGAAAGTGGTTGATGTCTTGGGCAAAGAAATGGAATCACGTATACGTAGCTTGGCCATACTCCCCTCCACATTTCGCAAATTTTCTCGGGTTACAATATGTCACCCTTTGATTATTAACGGCGTCATCAAACACAAGATAGGTCATTATAGTGCACGTTTAACATATATACTGGGTTATTACAGGACCCAAGATTTTTAACAATTGAGTTGAGAATCCATACCGTTTATATCACGAAAATGAACAGAAATCTCAACTTTGTTAACGTTTCCGTAACGACGATCGTATACAAAATTCCCAACTTTAATGCATTATATACTGCACTGGAAGACATTACAGGCCCCAATATTTTTAACAATTGAGGAGAGAATTCATACCGGTTACATCACGAAAAATCTTAATGTTTCCTTAACGACGATCGAATACAAAATTCCCAACTTTAACACGTAGAATAACTGTTGTCTCCAATGGTAGACAAAAACAGAATATTTACTACCTCTTTGTCGAATACGCTACAAGAGATCTCTGAAATTTCACAGCCACGGAGAACAAAACCCTAAAATTGGTAAAAACTTGAAAGGCATTCTTGCTCGTTCCACAAACCCGGGCCATGGGGGGGGGGGTTCGAACGTCACAGGGAATTCTGGGATACGCCTTCCACATGATCTGGGGAACTACGGTGTGTGGTTCGCGAGTTTGTTTAGAAAAAAAAAATGTGTCTCAAGAAACATAACACCTGTTCCTGAAGTTCCGCTTTCACCATGACACCCTATCTCTTTGGTATACAGAGAAGGATGGAGAAGTGCTATTTCGTGGGATCACACGTTTCCAAATATTCGCTGACTACAATAGCGGCTACACCATGGCAGTTAACTACGCAGTTTTGCTCCTACTGGTTCTTTACCGTCTACTTTGTCGGGCCGATGAAGGTACAAACTTTACAGTTTCTGTGGCTGAAGATGCCAAGATTGGAACAGCCGTTGTCAGCTTGTCGCGTTTGTTGGGAATGGAGAAAACGGAACTTCCGTGTGTAATGGTGGAGGGGGATCCCTACGACCGGTTCTATGTGAGTAACAACTGTACAGTTTTGGTCGCCAGGCCGCTGGACTGGTCTGTACAGTCGGAGTATCTTTTAAAAGTACGTGTTGGTGGAAGTCAAGACTCTGATCACCATGTCGTCAGGATCAGAGTAAATGTGAGGAACGTTTTGGGCTATCCTCCTGTGTACAACGAGACGTGTGAAACACCAGTCAATCCCAGCGGGAACCGGACTGGGGAGTTCCTATTTAGTGTTCTGCTAAATGTACAAGCTGAGACAACTGCCGGAGGTGTTCTTTTCTTTCAGAAAAGAATTAGCAATCCTCTTGAGAAACGGGATAGGGAAGACCTCAAAGTAGTTATCAGGGAAAATAACTACTGCGAAGTTCATATTGTGACAGGAGTACATCATTTGCACGATCTCTCTACTGCACTAGAAATCTGGGAGACGGCGGCAAGGGAAGATTTCCATAAAGTAACGATATCATGTCATGCGGAGACTGCCTTACAGTCAGAACTGTCAATCTCTCTTTTCGATGTTCGCGAATTGTACATCCATGACTTGCCTTACTTAGATCAACTTCAGGTCGCGATCCCTCAAGTCATGGAGAGACTTCTGCACCCCGTTTTGTTTACTACGTTTCGTTTCATTCTCCGGCAAAGACAAGAACGCACTATATATGCAAACTTCCAAAGCCCCGTCGCCCAACCATTATTTCCTTAAGTCATCGAAATCAAATAAGGGTACGATATCCTCCATTAGTAACTCTGGACTTTATCCCAATCGGTTGTCCTCCCGATAGATATGGTCTTCTTGTGATCAGACCTGCATCTGTAAGAACGGTGCCCGCTGCCATGGCTTCAACGGTGCCTGTAAATGTACAGACGCCTGGCAAGGTGTCGCTTGTGACATTCCAAAGCCCGGCGTTTCCGCCACGACGACACCTAGCGACCCTTCTGATATCTACATTTCCGCTAACGTCACGGTTCACTGTAAATTTCACCACAATCAACGCTACAGCGATATCATTACGACTTCCAAACGGGTCTGAGATCGTTAGAAAAAACGGTACTCGTTTAGACCAAACTCTTTTAAACATACAGCCCAAAGACAATGGTCCCTACATGTGTCGGGTATGGGACACCCATGGAAAGGTCTTCAACGCAACCGTTGTACTTGACATTGCTAAGTGTCCACCTAATCGAAAAGGCGAGTTCTGTGATGAGACGTGTGACTGTCTCCATGGCGCCACCTGTGACTGGAGATCTGGCTGCGTCTGTCCTCCGGGCTGGACAGGAACCAGGTGTCAGACCACATGTCCGAATGGCACGTACGGCGAGCGGTGCCGAGAGAAGTGTCGATGCCGAAACAGTGCGAGCTGCAGCCCTGGCGACGGCAGGTGTACCTGCGCGGCTGGCTGGTACGGCTGGCAGTGTGACGTACCTTGTCCTAAGTACAGGCACGGTCTGAGGTGTCAGCAGGTGTGCACCTGTAAGAACAACGCCACCTGTCACAACGTGGACGGCAGTTGCACCTGCGTGGCGCCGTGGACGGGGAAGGACTGTGACCAAGTCGAAGAGCAAGAACAGGCAATGCGACCGGAACAACTGCTCGAAATCTTTGTCCCAATAGGATCCTTTATCGTTCTAGCTGCTTGTGTAGGGATCATACTGTACATGAAAAGGCACCTGCGTGGCGTTCAGCCCGGCCAAGACGACGAGACCGAAGCTTTTCTGGAGCTGGAGCAGGTGGAGGCAGACCTGGCACAGACCGTCCAGCCGGGCTGGCTCAGCCGATGGGGTAAGACCAGGCGGCACCTGACACTTGGTCCCCTGGTCGGGATGGGGATGTTTGGTCAAGTCATTCAGGCCAACCTCAAGACACACGCTTGCGACATCACCGTTGCTGCCAAGGAAGTTCGCAGACGAGACATCCAATGTTATCGCAACTTCTACAGGGAGGCGGCCATTTTGGTAGCCGTGCATGAAGACCAACATCACGACAACCTCCGCTCCAACATCATTCAATTGTTGGGATTCATCAACGAGCCGACCCACAAGTATATCCTCACGGAATACGCTTCCAACGGTAACCTGTTACGTTTGCTGCGGCAGGCACGAAGGCAAGTCGGGCGGCAGTCTCTCCCACGTCATCTCCGCTATGCCGTGCACATTGCCCGCGCTCTTCAGGAGCTCCAACGCCTGGCGCTCACACACCGGGACGTGGCCGCTCGGAACGTCCTCATCACTGCTGACCACGTGGCCAAGTTGGCCGACTTTGGACAGGCCCGCGACGTCTACACCGCTGTCCAATACGTGCCTAATGATAAACACGGCATAGAACAGCCTGCTAAGCCTAAAGACAACGTAAAGAATGAAGTATTCCCCCTGAACTGGACGGCTCTGGAGTCATTAGAGACAGGTGAGTACACCTGTCAGAGTGACGTGTGGTCCTTCGGCGTGCTGCTGTGGGAGATCGTCACCATGGGACAAGAACCGCGTTACCATGGCAACGGCCAACCCACCTGCCAACAGCTCGCACGAACCCTCCGGAGGGGAATCCGGCTGAGAAGGCCTCCGGGATCTTCCGGAGAGATGTATGACGTCATGATGTCGTGTTGGCAGGAAATGCCGTCAGAAAGACCGGATCCGGATGAAGTAGAGATGAAACTCGTACAACTGCGAAATGCGATGATTACAGTAAGGGAAACGACTGTCTGAATTGTCAAAATTGATGTTCAGCTATTTTTTGTGCCCAACCTGTATTAGTCAAGAAGTTGCCTTTTCTGATTGTGAGCTGATTCAATGGTGTCAGCATGCATCATCACAAGTATTGAGCTGATATACATAATATGTAAATATGCATACAAAAGTGGACACTTCTCTTCCTGGTGTTTAACAACTGTTTTACAAATATAGTTTACATTTGATATCCAGCCAAATACACAGACATTATGATAACTCATCAGAGATCGTCCATTCATTCTATCCAGAGTTATTTTGACAGGATAAAAATTCAATATGATATCATCTAATTCATAGAGAGTAATAATAATCTAACCGATGTGTTCTACATATTAACCTATGGTTTGGTAAAGCGCTGTTCATACGTAGGGCACATTTTACTTGGGTTCAATGTAATGCAAGTATCAGACAATACTCTATTGTTTCTGTGAGACAAGTTATGGTTTGTCCTGCAATGCACTTCTTAGAAGTGCCAGAGGTAAGCAATCTCCTGTTTTTAGTCTCTGCCTCCATTTTTCAATGGAGAAGTAAAAAAAAAAGTATTAAATTTACTAGTATCATGCTTTTGAAGACATCCTAGGCCAAATCGAGTGCAACAAGAAAGCAGCCTGAACTGGAAAGAGGTTGATGTCTTGGGCAAAGAAATGGAATCAAGTATACGTAGCTTGGCCATAGTCCCCTCCACATTTCGCAAAATTTCTCGGGAAAAATATATCACCCTTAGATTATTCACGGTGTCATCAAACACAAGATAGGTCATTATAGTGCACGTTTAACATATATACTGGAAGTTATTACAGGCCCCAATATTTTTAACAATTGAGGAGAAAATTCATACCGGTTACATCACGAAAAATCTTTATGTTTCCTTAACGACGATCAAATACAAAATTCCCAACTTTAACACGTAGAATAACTGTTGTCTCCAATGGTAGACAAAAACGGAATATTTAGTACCCCTTTGTCGAATACGCTACAAGAGATCTCTAAAACTTCACAGCCACGGAGCACAAAACCCTAAAATTGGGCAAAACTCGAAAGAGGCATTCTTGCTCGTTCCACAAACCCGGGCCTTGGGGGGGGGGTCGAACGTCACAGGGAATTCTGGGATACGCCTTCCACCTGCTCTGGGGAACTACCGTGTGCTACGCGAGTTTTGTTTTAAAAATGTGTCTCAAGAAACATAGCACCTGCTTCTCAAGTTAAGTTCCGCTTTCAGCATGACACCCTATCTCTTTGGTATACAGAGAAGGATGGAGAAGTGCTATTTCGTTGGAGCACAAGGTTCTTAACATTCGCTAACTACAACAGCGGGTACACCATGGCAGTTAACTACGCCTACCTACTGGTTCTCTACAGTCTACTTTGTCTGGCCGATGAAGGTACCAACTTCACAGTTTCTGTGGCTGAAGATGCCAAGATTGAAACAGCCATTGTCAGCTTGCCGCGTTTGTTGGGAACGGAGAAAGCGGAACTTCCGTGTGCAATGATGGAGGGGGATCCCTATGGCCGATTCTTTGTGAGTAACAACTGTACAATTTTGGTCGTCAGGCCGCTGGACTGGTCTGTACAGTCAGAGTACCTTTTAAAACTACTTGTTGGTGGGCAAGAACACACCGACAACCATGTCGTCAGGATCAGGGTAAATGTGAAAAACGTTCTGGGCTATCCTCCTGTGTACAACGAGACGTGTGGAACACCAGTCAATCCCAGGGGAAACCAGACTGGGGAATTCCTATTTAGTTTTTCGCTAAGTATAGAAGCTGAGACAACTGACGGAGATGTTATTTTCTTTGAGAAAGGGATAAGCAAGCCTCTTGAGAGATGGGACATGGACGATCATAAGGTAATCATCACAGAAGAGAACAATTGCGAAGTTCGTCTAGCGATTGGGATACATAGTTTCAACGACATCGCAAATGTACTAGAAATATGGGACGTGCTGGAAAGAGACGACGATTGGAAAGTTACGTCTTGTCAGGCGGAGACTGCCTTACAGCCAGAGCTGTCAGTTGTGCTTTTAGACAACAGAAACTGGCCTTACTTACAACAGCTTCAGGTTTCAATCCCTCAAGCCATGGAGAAACTTCAACATCCTCGTGTGGTCTTCTATCTTTCACTTGATTTTCCAGCGAAGAGCAAAACGCTCTATAGATGTAAGTTTCCGAAACTGCGTCACCCACTCAGTCTTTCGATAAGTCGTCGTCGTCAAGAAACATTAAGTATACGACATCTTCAAACACTGACTGTGGATTTTAACCCGATCGGCTGTGCTCCCGAAAGATATGGCCTTCTTTGTAATCAAAACTGCATCTGTAAGAATGGTGCCCGCTGCCATGGCTTCAACGGTGCCTGTAAATGTACAGACGCCTGGCAAGGTGTCGCTTGTGACATTCCAAAGCCCGGCGTTTCCGCCACGACGACACCTAGTGACCCTTCTGATGTCTACATTTCCGCAAACCTCACGGTTCACTGTAAAGTTCACCACGTCAAAGCCACTAAGTTATCATTACGACTTCCAAACGGGTCTGAGATCGTTAGAAAGAACTCATCTCGATTAGACCAAACTCTGTTGAACATACAGCCCAGAGACAATGGTCCCTACATGTGTAAAGTATGGGACGCCTACGGAAAGGTCTTCAACGCAACCGTTGTACTTGACATTGCTAAGTGTCCACCTAATAGAAAAGGCGAGTTCTGTGATGAGACGTGTGACTGTCTGCGTGGCGTCACCTGTGACTGGAGATCTGGCTGCGTCTGTTCCGCGGGCTGGACAGGAACCAGGTGTCAGGCCACATGTCCGAACGGCACGTACGGCGAGCGGTGCCGAGAGGAGTGTCGCTGCCGAAACGGTGCAAGCTGCAGCCCTAGCGACGGCAGGTGTACCTGCGCGGCCGGTTGGTACGGCTGGCAGTGTGACGTACCTTGTCCTAAGTACAGGCACGGCCTGAGGTGTCAGCAGGTGTGCACCTGTAAGAACAACGCCACCTGTCACAACATGGACGGCACCTGCACCTGCGTGGCGCCGTGGACAGGGAAGAATTGTGACCAAGTCGAAGAGCAAGATCAGGCGATGCGACTGGAACCACTGCTCGAAATCTTTGTCCCAATCGGCGCCGTTATAATTTTGGCTGCTTGTGTAGGGGTCATACTGTACAAGAAGATGCACCTGTGCGGCGTTCAGGCCGGACAAGACGACGAGACGGAAGCCTTTCTGGAGATGGAGCAGGTGGAGGCAGACCTGGCACAGACCGTCCGGCCGGGCTGGCTCAGCCGATGGGGTAAGACCAGGCGGCACCTCACACTTGGTAAATTGGTAGATATGGGGATGTTTGGACAAGTCATGGAGGCTAAGCTCAAGACTCACGCCGGGGACATCACCGTTGCTGCCAAGGCGGTTCGCAGACGGGACATCCAATGTTATCGCAACTTCTACAGAGAGGCGGCCATTTTGGTAGCCGTGCATGAAGACCAACATCACGACAACATCCGCTCCAACATCATTCAATTGTTGGGATTCATCAACGAGTCGACCCACAAGTATATCCTCATGGAATACGCTTCCAACGGTAACCTGTTACGTTTGCTGCGACAGGCACGAAGACAAGACGGACCGCAGTCTCTCCCACGTCATCTCCGCTATGCCGTGCACATTGCCCGCGCTCTTCAGGAGCTCCAACGCCTGGCGCTCACACACCGGGACGTGGCCGCTCGGAACGTCCTCATCACTGCTCACCACGTGGCCAAGTTGGCCGACTTTGGACAGGCCCGCGACGTCTACACCGCTGTCCAATACGTGCCTGATGATAAACACGGCATAGAACAGTCTGCTAAGCCTAAAGACAACGTAAAGAATGAAGTATTTCCCCTGAACTGGACGGCTCTGGAGTCATTAGAGACAGGTGAGTACACCTGTCAGAGTGACGTGTGGTCCTTCGGCGTGCTGCTGTGGGAGATCGTCACCATGGGACAAGAACCGCGTTACCATGGCAACGACCAACCCACCTGCCAACAGCTCGTACGGACCCTCCGGAGGGGAATCCGGCTCAGAAGGCCTCCGGGATGTTCCGGAGAGATGTATGACGTCATGATGTCGTGTTGGCGGGAAAGTCCACCAACAAGACCGGGTCCGGATGTGGTCGAGATGAAACTCTTACAACTGCGGAATGCGATGATTACAGTAAGGGAAACGACTGTCTGAATTGTCAAAATTGATGTTCAGCTATTTTTTTTTGCCCAACCTGTATTTGTCAAGAAGTGTTCTGACTGTGAGCTGATTCAGTGATGCCAGCATGCATCATCACAAGTATTGTGCTAATATACATTGTACATAAGTACTAATATACCTATATAAGTGGAAATTTCTCTTCCTGGTGTAAAACAATTGTTTTACCAAAATAGTACCTATAAGAAAATTTGCGTAGATAAATTTTATAGAAAGCCATATAGAAAGCCATTACGAAGACGCATCAGAAATGTTACTTATGCTGTCAGAATTTATTTTAGTAGGATAAGAATTCAATACAATGTCCTATATATAGATCTATGGTTTGGTAAAGCACACTTCATAGGAAGGCTTTTAACTTTGGTTCATTGTGATTAAGGTATCCTATTATACTTTTTTTTATAGCTGTCCCCTTTAGGAAAAGATACTAGTGTGTCCTGCAATGCGCTTCTTATAAAAGTGCCATAAAAGAACATTCAAATAGCGCACAAAGTTTCAGAAAGCGCACAAATTGGGTTTAACTAAAGTCAGCTTGTACTAAACCATGTATACTGTGAGCAAGTTAAGCCTTGTGGTATTGAACAATATATACACACATGTACATATGTGTTTGTACCTTGAGAAACAGTTTTTGCTAAAAGTAGCTCTTTCCATACGCTGCCAGCATATAACTCATTATGAGGTTAATTAGAACTTTAGGTCACTTTGTGACGATACACATTGAACTAACTAACCCCTGGATACTAGTAGCAAGTTATACAGCACAATTACTGCTATTGAGTGGACTCCTTTACAATGCTCCTAAGGTCCTGTAGAAGCAACCCCTATCTGTATGGGTTCTGTTCTTTTTAAAATACACACACATGTAGTCAAGATCTTAACTAGCAAATGTTCAGCACTTGTGCTGCAAAGGTTTTTTGTTGAATAAACCATTCTCTCTAAACCATTCTCTCTTTCACAGCCGTTTTGAAAGTATGTTTTCGTCAGTTATGAATTTCTTCTCAGAATTCCTACAGAATTCTTATGGTTTCCATTTTCACCAAAATGGATAAAATTTGTTAATTCTAACTACTCCATCAAATCCATGGAAGATGTAGACCAACTAAAGTACAAACAAGGACCATGGCCATTTTCTTCACTAGGCCACAAAATATATGATGAACAAGAAAGGAATATCATTATAGTCCAGCTGCCATGAAGCCAGAATCTAAGCATCCAAAGATGATTTCATAGTCTTTCCCCATGTACAAAGCAACAATAAAAAAAGTTCTGTGAAATGTTTGTTTTAGCTCCTAACAAAAACAGCACAAAAAAGAACTTGTACATTCAGTGGTAGCGTGCGTAGTCCAGTGGTTAGCAATCCTGCCTCTGGACTAAGAGGTTGGGAGTTCGAATCTCGGCTGTTGTCGCTCACCAGACATGCACGCTACTGTTTAGGATCGCAGTCCTTAGGACGGGACGTTAAGCCGCGATTCACTGTTCATTGTGTTTGTCGAGAAGAGCTAGGGGAATTTCCACGGTACAATGAACCTGTAAATACTGTACATAGCGTCTGTCTTCTCTGTCACGACCAGTGGAAGAGTAGCTCTTCAGTGAGCTAAACTGGTTCGAGATCACTTTCATTTCACTTTAGTGGTCCCCTAGAGTGAAGACCTCATAGTCAAGAACGTTGAAGTAGTAATCGCCCATGAGTATACTACAGGAGGCATGGTCTCCGTTGTAGGAGTGTGGTAAGTTAGAGTAACACTCGGTGCCTGTGTGACAGTTGTTAGCGATATAAAGGTCCGCGCCCGCTCCGAAGATAGGTCCAAAACTGTAGAACAGAGTGAAGATCTGTCATAAGTCATGGTACTCAAATCACCAGGCCTTAAAAACTTATAAAAGGTAGACAACAGGGCAAACACTCAAAGCATAATGCTTGAGAAAAGTATAAAGCTTTTTTGCTAGCAAATAGTGCGATAAAGCTTTTTTTGCTAGCAAATACATGTAGTGCAGATCGTAAAATGCAGTTTTGCAATGACTAATTATGTTTACCAAAGGAAAACATATTGTTTTTACTACATTTCCTCTTCTTCTCCAAACCAAAAAGGTCAATGACCTGAACTGTCTGTTACCATGGTAACTAGTGTTGGGTTAGATCATGTTGTAATTTTATACCAGGAGGGATTTAGACTCCTGTCTGAGCATACATTATGAATGTGTTTGAGTAAGAATTAACAGAGCAGACCATACATGTATGTGAAGGTAAACATTATGCATTTGCTTTGCAAATTTCACCTTTCTAGTTAGGCCTTACTTCTTGTTACAAATGTGGCAGCTGTGCAAGACTTTCAAGCTTAAATAAAGTAAGACTTCTCCCCATACTGGGTAATGCTGGGGAGTTCATATATCAAATATAATATATGCATGTCTAATGCTACTACGCATTGTACAGCTGCATACCGTAGTAGTAGTATTAGCAAAGCAACTAGAGGTTCCAGTGTAGCAAACTGGAGGCGGGTAAAAGTTTGGAACCTTAGGGAACCTATTTCTTTCCATGAGATTGATAATGATTTGGTCATTGCTAATCTTAAATGTTTTATCTCTTGACCTACTACATGCTTGTTGTTGCCAGCAAAACTTTGGATACATGCACCCTTTGCAGACAGTTTAAAGGCCATGACCCTTTGATATCTCTGGTCAGAACTTACTTTGGATGGTGTGATGTAGCGAACTTTTTGTTGACAATGTTGAAACGTGTTGGCTCCACCCCTTGTTGGTTTACAAGTGTGAACAGAAAGGCCCTAAAGGAGACAAGAGTTAAATTCAACATGTAGACATGTAGACATGTTTCCAAGCTTTAAACTTTGCATTATCCTAGTACAGTATTTTGGTAATTAAAATATAGTAACTTATTACCTAACAGAAATTCCTTACTTTGTACAAATTAGTTTCTAGTATACTTAGATTTCTGGAACCCATAATACAAGACATATTTCACAGGTCAGAAAGAGTAGACTTGGAGGTCAAACTACACGTACAACAGGTCTAGACTTTTGACACATTAGTGCCATTGGAAATACATGTAAACTGGCTAAGAATATCAACCATTAACAACAATAGATCTAACAGGTTTAGCAATTTAGATATTGTCCTTACCTGTCAGAAGCGATGTACTTGCCCTGAGCAGGGGCCTTACTTGTCCAGGGAACATCACTGAAGCCCCCGCACACATTCCCCTTGTGGCCCTACAGCAATACAGAGTACAGGGATTACATGGCTGTACTAACTACATTGTACATGTACATGTACATCAAGATTCTAGACTGATAATGCATTTTTGAGATGCAGTAATAGCAACAACCACTAGGTGGCACTTTAATGTGCTAGGTCAGACAAGGATGTCCTTTGCTCAAGACAGAGAGAAAGAAAGGTGCAGGAAGAATCTTAATACCAAATTTCAAAACTCCTGATGAGAATTGCAGTCCACTGGATGGGATGTAAAGTAGAGGTCCCATGTTTGAGGAGAGTCACACCTTGATCTGAGCATATTAAAAACCCCATGATAAGAGTAGGGGCCTGTCCCAGTGGATCAAACTTTCAAAGCTTGTACTTAGTCTTTAGATACTGACAGGCACAAATTAAAGTCTGGTGATATACTTTGAGACTAGCCTGGGTGCCATCCTCCTTAGTATTCGCCTGCTCCCTAATGTTGCTAGCTACCACGGAGTCTGGACTTGCTGACATATGTAAGACAACAAAGTCACATGAATAATGGAGGCGCGCCATTGGCTGTTGCTCCTGATCAGGTTCAGCCAATCAAATGAAGCCCTGCTGCTCGGGCTAGCTCATTACGTGACGTCATCACCAGACGTTACATACATGTATGTCAGCAAGTCCAGACCCCGTAGTAGCTAGCGACATTAGGGGCGGGCGAATACTACGGAGGATGGCACCCAGGCTAGACTCAAAGTAAATTATCACCAGTTTAATTTGTGCCTGTCAGTATCTAAAGACTAAGTGCAAGCTTTGAAGGCTTCCCAGAGAGAAACAGAGAACTGACCAGGATAAGGACAATGGTGGGACTGAAGCCGTCACAGTTCTGGTGGAATGCATCGGCCGTGTAGCCATCTCTGGAAGCCTTGTATAACAGTCTCCACTCCTGTTTACTGTCCCCGTACCTGGTGTAAAACACAAGAGTCAAACATCTCATAACAACACTGTGTAATGCATTGATCAAGCTATGAAATCTTGTACTCTGCAGTTTGAAAGGAAGTTGCTAGGGGGCCCAAAACATGCATAAGTCCATCAGACTTACATGTACAGACAAACTTTAAATCAGATCAAACTGATTTGAGGGAGTAAGATCTTTAAAGGTGAAAAAAAGATCAATGTTAGTTATTGATAACCATCCTTAAAACTAAGTTTATAAAGCTACAGGTTACTACAAATTTCCAAACTTGTTCCAATGCAAAAAAAGTCAAAAAACATTTGAGCTATGATTCACTGAAATGAAAATAAGGACACCAACATGACTGCAGATACAACATCATGTTTTCAATCTACTTATGTCATGCCCCGACTCTATATCTACTTACTTAGGCCAATATATATGTAGTGCCTTACAAAAGAGAGAAAGAATTGTTAAGACATAGAAACACTTTTAAACAGTTTTAAAACGTACGCTTATGTCAATACCCCGTTTAGGTTCATATTAGATAGTAATTACTAACAGTTTCTTAGAATAGATTTACTGCATTGATCACATTATCATTGTCAGTGTTGCAATACATTGTACCATGTACAACTGTCAAGCAATAAAGTTCATTCATTCATTCATTGTAAAAAGGCTCCATTGAGGCAGAACTTTACCATTGGTTGAGCACCCTCTGTAGAGGTAGTCTCTCCCTGCTCAGTATGTCTGTTCCTTTGAAGAGTTTGTGGGAGACTCGAGGAGTCAGTCTCCTGTCTCGGCTGTTTTTCAATCCTGTGGGCACGGCCGCAATACGATACCTGGGAACAAAACATAACAATCTTGAAGAAAAATAAACTGTTCTCCAACTCAGAAAGAAATTAACTCAGAAATTTTTGACTGAATCGCTCAGTCTTTATCAGCTTTAGGCCACACCAATTTAATTTGTTGGTTCTCGGATTCGCCTCTTCGTTTTTTTCTGATTTGCAAAAAAAAAAATTGATTCTGGTCCTGAATCAACTGAAAAATGCTCATGTTTTGCCCCCCAACAGTTGAGGAAAGTCCTTTTCTTCCTAGTTGTTACAGTTTTCCCATCTATCATTGCAGTGATTTGATTAAAAGTTCAAAATTCAATGTTTAAATTTTAACCCAGCCTTTTGTGTTGACTTCATGGCTCATTTTGTAGCATTTAAGCCTATAATAGGATGCCTAGACCTGTTTTTATTTTTTTTTTTTTCGCCCTGTCGCTTCATATTTTTTCTGAAAAAATCCGAGAACCAACAAATTAAATTGGTGTGGCCTTATGACCCAAGTGACTTTTAGCCACATGTACCGTCAGCACTGCGTCACAGTTCTTCGGAAGT